CTGGAGAACCTGGACTGGTGGGAGCCGGACATGCCCCCTGCCCCTGCCAGGGCTGCCTTCTGCCCTCCAGGTCAGCTGAAGAGCCAGCAGCCAGTGACCCCAGCCCAGGGGGGCAGGTACAACTATGCCCGGCTGGCAGGGGCACATATGGGGGACAGAGTGTCCCTGCCCCACGCTGGCTGGGAAGTGCCCACCTCTGCGCTGCCCAGTGGGGCGGGACACTCCGTCTGCCGGAGCCCGCCGGCTGCTGGATCAGCGTCCGGGGAGGCTGGCAGCAGAACAGCACCTGCCGGCCTCCCCAGACGCTTAGCTGGGCTGGGCTGGGCTGGGCTGGGGACGGTCCTAAGCGTGGCCATGAGCCGCCCCGAGCCGCGCCCAGCCCCAACCCAGCCAGGGGCCGGCCACTGTGCCCTCATGGTGTCCCGCCACCTCGCCCTGGGGAACAGCACCTGGCACAGTGTTGGGGGGAGGCACAGTCCACAGCATGGCCCCTGGCTGGGGTGAGGGGCACAGTACATGGCCCAACACCTGGGCGCACAGCGCTGCCCAGCCCTTGGGACCCATGGCCAGCCCGGGCAGGCTGGTGACATGGGGTGCTGGGCCTGCGGGTGGAGCAGACAGTGCCCCCCCCCTTCTCCCCTGCCAGGGTGGGGTGCTCGACCAGCGGAGAGTCTTTATCTGGACATGGGGGGGGGCAGGGGGTGCTCTCAGGTGACCTCTGACTCCCTTCTATGACCTGCAAGTGACACCCCCATCTGCCCTCGCCCTGTGGCAGGACCTTCCAAGCAGGGAAAGGGGCACTGAGCACCATGTAGCCCTGGCAAAGCAGAACACCGGGGTCATCTCCTGCTTCCCCCCCCAGCCCGCCTGCTCCGGGCACATGTCTGATTCACCGGCTCCCCACCAGGCCAGCTCCTGCGCCCATCAAACCTCGCCCCCAGCGGGACAGCTCCTTCCATGGGGTGGCACACGCTGAGCTCTGCGGGACGCCCGCTCCGGGGGCACAACAGGACTTCGCTCCGTGCCCCCTCCCGGCACCGTGCTGGGGAAGCTCCGCTGGCATTGGGACGGAAACATCCCACGTCCAGCCCTGCAGAGGGCAGCTGGGAACGTGGCCCAGGGAGACCGAGAGGCACAGACGCCAGGGGGCAAAGCGGGCCTCGGCATGGGCACCAAAGGCAGGGTTCCTACGCCCAGCTCAGATGATCCATAGCACCTGACTCTGGATTTTCCAAGGGTTTTTGGAGGGGGAGCCTCAGAATGCTGTCCCCCCTCAGCCCCCCAGGTAGAGACCTGACCCGCTGCATCTGTATCGGTCCCTACCCCTCCCTCCTCAGCACGTCCCAGCGCCTCCCAGGTGCGGGCCTCATGGTCACTGGATCTCCAGTCAGGAACCAGCTGGCTTTAAAACAGAAACATGGGGGGGAATGTATTTGCACCTCAAAGGATCCTTAATTGGCGGGTGTTTGCTCTCCATCCACTGGGTTTGGTGCCCTGGGGTGGGACAATGGGGCCTCTCCGGGGCCGGGGGCCAGACAGGGCGGCTCCATGGAATGATAAGGGATCTGCTCAGAACTGGCTGTTCCAGGCCCTGGTGCCGTGTTATCTTCCCATTCGGCCCCCCGCATTGTTGGCTCCCCCCCGCCCCGGCGGAGCCCCAGGTCAGGCACCAGCCAGGGCATTGCCGGACCCATCCCATGCAGCTGCGTCCTGTGTCACTCACAGCACCTCTGTGGTTTTAGGGGTTTTGCCAAGAACCATTAGCAACAGCAGGGCTGCCCTGTCCAGGAACCCCACTCCCAGAGACGGGGCTCACCCCATGCAGAGCGATGCCCTACACCAAGCCCAGCTGTAGGGAGAGCCCACTGTGCAGATGGGGAAACTGAGGCAGAGAGGCAAATGGACATACACAAGAGCCAGGGATAGAACCCAGGAGCCCTGGCTCCCAGCCCCCCTGCTCTAACCACTAGACCCTGCTCCCCTCCCAGCTCTGGGGATAGAACCCAGGAGCCCTGGCTCCCAGCTCCTTGCTCTAACCATTAGACCCCACTCCCCTCCCCGCTCTGGCGATAGAACCCAGGAGTTCTGGCTCCCAGCCCCCTCTCACCCGATCTAACCACTAGACCCCATTCCCCTCCCAGAACTGGGGATAGAACCCAGGAGTCTGAGCTTCCAGCCCCCTGTTCTAACCACTAGACCCCATTCCCCTCCCAGAGCTGGGGATAGAACCCAGGAGTCCGAGCTTCCAGCCCCCTGCTCTAACCACTAGACCCCCTCTCAGACCCAGGACTAGAACCCACGCACATCTCGGCTGGGAGCATGTCACAGTCGGCACCAGGGTCCCACTCTGCGAGCAGGATGCCCTGCGACTGGCCCTCACCACAGCAGCTTCCTCTCAGCACCGGGGCCGGCCAGGAAGCGGGACTGACCTGTCACCCAAGGGCGGGACTCAGTTGGTGGGGGGGAGAAGAACACGGAAAGAAGCAAGGCTGTAGGGGGCTCCCCCGTGGGCTGAGGTCCTGCGACGGGGTAGCTGTAGGGGCTCATGGGGTGGGGGGGCAGGCAGTGCCCAAGACAGGGAGACGAGGGGCTCCCCCACAGCTCCTCACAGTCCAGGGGAGGGGGCGCCCCGGCGACATGACTCGGCCCATCAGTGGCTCCGTCGGGCAGGCTGCCTCCCCGGGATGTATGTGGGCACACCCTCCCCCACATCCCCCCCTCGTGGCAGGGCCCCCCAGCTGCAACACGGAGGGCGAGCCCAGGGCCCGGTTCCCACGGCCGCACGCCGGCTCACCTGACAGAGGCTCCTGGGCCTTGGCATCGGTCTCCACCTCCTGGGCGGCGAGCGCCGGCTCCGGGGCCTCGGTGGGGCTGGGCTTGTCCACCAGCGAGGCCCGGCGCGCCCGGCCCCCCAGGCCCAGCTTGAGGAAGTTCATTCGCTTCCCGGCGTCGGGGACACCCTCGCGCTCGGCCGGGGAGCTCTCCGGCCCGCCCTGGCTCTCCCTGCGCCGCCCGTTCAAGAGCTGCAGGAGGCGGAAGTCCTCGGAGCAGCGCCGCACCTTCCGCTTCTCCAGGGACCCGAGGCCCAGGAAGGGGCGCCGGTCGGGCCCCTTGTCCCCGGCAGGAGCCTTCTCTTTGCCCGCCCCCTTCTTGCCCTTGCCCAGCCGGAAGGGGGACAGGCCCGCCAGCTTCTCTCGCGTCGCCCGGCGCCGATCCAGGCTGCCGTTGATGATGTCACGTTCAAAGCCACCATCCTCCTCCTCTGCCTCCTCCAGGAAGGGGTTCTGCTCCCCCAGGACAGAGTCCCCCGAGTTCTCCTCCAGATCCTCTTCGAAGGGGTTGGTGCTGCTCTCCTGGGCCAGGATCAGCTCCCCGGTGCCGCCCGGTGCCCTGTTGGCCGTGGCCATCTTCAATTTGTAGGGGTTCTTAAGGACCGGCATGGCCGCCACTATCCGGGACCTGGCAACACAGGAGACAGGGTCAACGCCGAGTGCGGGATGCAGGGATCCCGGTGCCATGGGAGGAGGAGCAGCTAGGGACATGGAACACCCAACCGCAGCCTAGCAACATATCCCGCCATTGCATGCCCTGTCCTCTGTATCGCACATACTCTGTACCCCATCGCAGGCCCTGTACCCTGTATTGTACATACCCTGTACCCCATCACACACCCTGTACCCCGTATTGTACATACCCTGTGCCCCATCGCAGGCCCTGTACCCTGTTTCCCATATCCTGTACCCCATCACACACCCTGTACCCTGTATTGTACATACCCTGTACCCCATCACACGCCCTGTACCCCATCACATGCCCTGTACCCCATCACATGCCCTGTACCCTTTATTGTACATATCCTGTACCCCATCACACACCCTATACCCTGTATTGTACATACCCTGTACCCCATAGCACGCCCTGTACCCTGTATTGTACATACCCTGTACCCCATAGCACGCCCTGTACCCTGTATTGTACATACCCT